GTATAACAAAAAACATTAAAGGATCAATTATTTCCCATCCCTGTTTGTTAGAGCCTTTACATTGGCATACAATCAAATGCTGATTTATTTTTCTTGGATTACAGAATCATCTAAAAGAGGAAAGATTACACAATAATGAGTGCACTGCATGATATTTCCACCGTTTGGTCACAAACCAAAGATTGCCCAGGTCGTAGGACCCGTGGCGGATGGTCACGCACATCACGGCTCTTGACCAACTTGTGCCGTACGGACGACTACTGGAAATGCCAACTCTGTTGAGAGAGGAGATGGATGAAGGAGATCTTTAAAACCTTCAACCTGATTAATTGAGTTTTCTTTGACAGAAGCTTATAATCAGCAGATTTATTAAGTTTGGAAACTTTAAAATCTTTGTCACCACACACATTTTACCCAAGTACTTTTATCCTTAAATGGACAACTGTAAGTTATTTTTTTTTTGCGGGTGTAACTAAGCAATATGACATTACTTATTTCCAGTTCAATTTATCAAACATATTTTTTTAATGACCAAATTGTTGCTCTTGCTGTATGTACACTATTTTACTAGAATGTTGCTGATGCTTTATGTTGTTTAAATGCAATTACATCATACCCATACACACAAACAACCCTCAGACTGGAGAGCACAGAAATGGATTACTGGCTTACCTTTGATAGACGTTTCCATCTGTACCCACCATAAAGACATTTCCATCAGTTCCCACTTCAACCATTTTTGCAGCCCCTGACACCTGTACCCAGCCGCTGATGCTACAGGAGGTTGGTGTCATTCTCTGACATAAAGAAGCATACATGATGAGATGTCATATACAGTGAGTAAATGAGCTTAATATTCTTTAAAACAACACCAACAATATATAAGGTTTCACTGGCACTGCAATGTCCAACCTGTGTGTAGTAGATCCGATAACTAGGGCCGACTCCCCAGCATCCGTGTTTTGGGCTGCAGCTGAAGTACTGCAGACTTCCTAGCGTAGTCTAGCTCAAGGAGCCAGATCCAGTGTAGGCTGAGGCGTAGGTACTTCTCAGACAGTAGACCCTGCTGCCATAAACTCCCACAACCTGACGGTCACCACCAGCATCCACCTGTTGCATATACCCACCTGAGGACAAGCAAACAGAGTTTGTCATTCAGTCAGTATGCAGTAGCTGTATGTGTACTGTAAATATGGAAAATATAGCTTTCTATAATAATAGTTACCCTTGGTTAGTTGAAAGTTGCCAGCTACATATTTGTACACCCTGTTTGAGGTGTCAACTGCCCAGATTCCTGCAGGTCCCACCGAGACATGCTTGAGAACACGATATGTGCCCAGTGCTTGCCAAGTTGTTCCACTTAGGAAATACGCTCTGTATTTCGTGTCTCTTGCGACCACTTTCCCCTGCCCGGCATCAACCTGTACAGCACCATTCAGCGATGGGGCCTCCTTGCACTTCCAGGCTGTGAAGACAAAATCATTAAGATGTGTCTGGAAAATATAAATCAATTTAAGAAAGAAATACTTAGATTTCACCTTTAGTGACATCAACAAATAATTTTAAGATTTATAATTTTTAAAAATTGGACCTACCGTGACTGACGGCCAGGTAACACAGCACCAGCAGGAAGACTGCAACAGCTTTCATGTTGTCTCTGTTTGTGGGTCTGTAGTCAGCAGTTCACCACTGGATGTACCTCTGTATCTGTGTTGAGCTACTGCCCTGTAACACATCTCTTAATCTGACTTTTATAGTATGCCGTCTGACAGATTAATTACAGCTGAAACTGGTTTTTCAGGCAGCTCAGGGAAGTTTAGAGGAAATGTTGAATATTTACACACCAAAGTATTGATGTTATAAAAGACAGATCAAGCATGAAAATGGACACATGATACAGGTGAAGATGTGTTTGTGTTAGATTCTTGTTATGCAAAGTACCTTTGCAAAGGATGCTGCCACGTGAAGATATGGTGATGATCCACTAATAATTAATTTGCCTTCTATTTGAAAATGACACGGAAATTCCTTCCTCATATAATGCTATCCCAGCACGGACACATAAAATAGCAACAAAATAGACAAAAAATACTCCACAACAAGAGGGAACTTTTTGCACATGTCTTTAGGTGGGGTTCCATCCATCAGTTTCTTATGCACATTTTCAACTTGAATAATAGCTGACTGCCAAAACCCACATATGACAACCAGTCACAATCACATTTCCAACGATAAAACACATACCAACATTAGGTCAACAGAATACACAGTTAGATTTCTTGTGAATTGCTTCTAAATGGTTGCAGTGCGTTAGTGCACATATCCACTCTGGCTGATGAAATATTTTTTTTTACCAATGTTTTACTCTACAATATTAACCAGTTTCAACCTGGACTGTGTGTGGACCTTTAGGATGTCACAATCATTAACATTAGATCTTGAACAGTCCTGCAGGGGGAGTGGATGGAAACAAGCATGTATTTGCATTTTCTTTTGCCATTTTTCTTGAAATTTGCAATACATTTGGATGGAAACTAGCTAGTGTGTGTGTGTGTAGGTGTGTATGCGTATGTGATTGTGTGTGTGTGTGTGTGTGTGTGTGTGTGTGTGTGGGATAAAGAGAGAGAGAGAGAGAAAGAAAGAAAGAAAGAAGAAAGAAAGAAAAAGAAAAAGAAAGAGGAGAGACGAGAGAGAGAGAGAGAGAGAAGTTAGTGGCATCTTTATTAAGCCTTCCCTCTGCATTTCTTGTTATTTATTTATATTATATTCAATTGTTAAATTTCTCCCAATGAATCACAATGATGAACTTGAAAATTGGTCTGGAGGTTTCTGCGACTGAAGACAACGGATATGAGATCATGAAGTAGTATCCACTGTAGCATAAATGTTTTTAATAAAGGTTGATCATATTCAGCGTGTGCACATACAGTGGATTCATATCCGTGTTTACATGACTCTAACAGCATCCAGGTTTCAGATCTTTGTGCAGGTGTGTCTTGATTCTTTAACATCAACCAAACAATTTCTGATGTACTTTGTATTATATTTCAACTTGTTGACTATCGTTACATCATATTTCTTGTTTAACTGACTGACACAATTTAACTTGATCAAACATCTGCACACATGACAGAGAATAATCAGAAACCGTGACACAGAATCCTGCTTTCTATCCGCATATGCCAGCAAGCATATCAAGGTTTCTCCAAAGCAGCACATAGTGTTTATATCTATAGGTCGTAACCAGCATACTGCGGAAACCTGATCATAACCAGGATGCTCACATTTATGATGTGAGGCAGAGTTACATCCTGTTTACTAGTTAACAGCCTCACGTTTTACAGACTACTGAGTAGATATGAGGGATCCGGTGCAAACTCATAAATCCTCTAAGATGTTTTCTGCATTTTAATGAGATCATAAGTTATTAGAAAGTGTGCTGTGGAGCTTCAGTGCAGAACTATAAGCTTCCTAAACATCCATATCAGCTGAACCTCTGTTGTTTCTCTCTCCACGAAGCAAGCAGTTTTACTTTTTTGACAGCCTCAAGACTGATGGTTGAAGGTCGCAGGCACCTCCAACACCGACAGGCCCCTGAGGAGGCCACTGTCCTGGAGGACAGAGGCTGATGGAGGGGCCTATGTGTCTTGGGGCTCCACAAAGCTCCAGGGACCTGCATATACCTGTATATGCACTAGAGGCTGTTCATCCATGGGCCAGGAGACTGATGACTCTACCTAAACTCTAATGTCAGAGGCCATCTATCACAGCAGCAGAGGTAAGTACTCTGCCCATACACAATACTCTGTTCAACTACAGTGTGTGGTCCTTAATTCTTCTGTGTGTGTTAAGGGACAAAGTTATTTAAACTTAGACAGAACAACAACAAACAAATTAATCCGCATGTGTGTATACAGCAAGTTAACCATTTAATTCACTGGTTCCCAATGTGGGGTGAAAGACTATTCTAAATAAATATACACAGTATAGCCTATATCTCATCAGTGAAATGATTTCTATGACAAAAACTGAAAGATATAAAGTTAAACAAAGATCATAGAGGTCCAGACCTTGGTCATTTAAAAAAGAATGGCATATAAAGATATTTGCAGCATTATATGTGTATATTAAGGAATTGAAATTGTCT